TACTTTAGAACAAATATTATAAAACTGTTTTAAAGATGATTTTACTCTCAAACCTCATCTAAGGAAATCACCAAGTCCAACATGTTAAAGGCTGTTTTCTGTATCTACAGGAGAGGACAGACTAAACAGCAGTATTAGACCACTATCTGTCACAGAGCCCATTATCACTAAAACACTTTTACGATACCTGCACAGAACTGTTCAACTTGGGACAGATCATAAGACAGCAACATGTGGGTCAACAGAAAAACAGCATCTCACATTACCTAGAAAAGCTTATGGGCATGCAGAACAGAGATCACGCTGAATTCCCCAAAACTGATGCAAGTCTGCAAAAGATAAAGCTACACAGAGAAGACAGGTGGAACTGGATGGGTACCAGAGCTCATTCTGGGCTTCACTCAGCAGTGATTTCCTGCAACAGAGAATGGTTACATTCCAGCAGAATTCAGCCACCATTCCACTTCAGTGACAAGCTTGTCACTGGTGTCAGGATAGACAAAGATGTGCCCAGAGAGGTCCCACTAGGAGCATCTCCTACCAGCTGCTACACGAACAGTCATACAGCCACCAATTTAAGGTCCACAAAAGTCTGCCCTGACTGTGGCCCAGCACAGAGAGAATGTAGGTGGGGGAAACATTTCAAAATCTTTTCAAAGGCACCCAGCACTTTTTAAAAACAGTGATGTCCACCAGGACAGAGGCAGCCCTCAGACTAGCTGGAGACAGACAAAGCAGGATCTGCCCACAGGCTCTGTATGGCCAGGACCTTGCCAGATACAGGTGCACAGATTTCCATACTAATGTCCTTCCACTCTCCTCCCTTTTCCATGCTTATGCCTTTGAAAACAAATGCATCCCTCGAAGCAACTGCAGATTGACAGCTCTGCTCTGTAAACAAGTGTCAAGGAAACAAAGCCTTAATGATGCTCTGTCATCTAAAAATACTATAAACAATGTCTGTGTTACTGATGGATAAAAGGGGGCCTTGTTCCTAATGAAGAGGATGGACTACCAGAGGAAAACCCACTTCCCAGCTCTGTAGGACTCGGTGCATACAAACCCAGGGTATTCATTCAACCTCACTGGGCTCTGCTCGCCCCCAGCCCTACTGAGAGAACAAGCTCCGACACAAGGGGTTCTCAGCACTAGCACACAACTGGCAATTAAGAAATTAGTATTGGGAAAGTTCATTGTAGCCTTCTGTGGAAAGGCACTGGGAAAATTCATAGCATTATTAGAAGAGTGCCCTAAATAGACTGCCAAGACAGCCAATCCAAACAACATTTTCACTCAAAGATATAAAAATAAATAAATTCCTCCCTTTACTTCATCTTGGAAATTTTCCTGTATCTAAGTGATTTCATGTCTGCTCCCCTGCCAAGTGCCACAGTTTGATGTTTCTTGTGTTCGAGTAGTGACTCCCCCACAGGGATTCCCTCATCCAAGTGTGACCCAAAATAAACAGCGAGGTCTGTCTCACTCTGCCCATGTTAACACATGCATTATTCAAAATGGCTCAGAAGTGCAAAAGACTTCACTAAGCAACTGACCTATAGAGGAAGAGAGAGAGATTACAGCATCATGTTCTTCAACCTGCTAAGAAGGTCATGATCTATTTAGCATGGAAGGGAAACTAAGATTTCACAAGGTGTAAGAAAAAAATGTATTTGGAAATTACATCTTATTCCGTCCAGATCTCTTGATAATTATCCTCTGTATTTCCTTGCCCAAACTGGATCAAATTCCTTTATGAACCTTTTTTTTCCCATATATACTTCTGAAAACAGAGACACAGTTATTTTTTTTAAAAAAAGAACAATGTCACACAATGACTGTGCCACCCGTTCTCATCTCTTACATCTATCACTCTGTTATTTCCTTTGCAAACCATTCTGTGAACATTAAAAAATACATCAGCAATGCCTGTGTAATGCCAAGGGAAGTAGGAATACATTTCAAAGTGAAAATGAAAGGGAGATGAAAATACATTTACAGATTTTCTATTTTCAGTGCACTTTGTGAGTGATTTTTATGACCAACACAAACCTACAGCACACTTCTTTTTGGTTCTTATACACCACTATTGTCCTGGAAATCAAGAAACTGTCCAATACAAACCAAACAGACTCAAAACGAGAAGAAGCTATTCCACAAAGAGGACTAGAACTAGGAACACTCTAGAACACTCTCCCAGAGGCATCTTTAGGATTTTATTTTGCTCCAGTTCGGGCCACTATTTGTAAAATTGGGGTGGACATATTCTAAGAAATTCACTAGGGCAGAATACAAAATAATAATGCAACATTTGACATTAAAAATGACAACCAAGAGGATATTCCATAAAACATATTTATTTAATCAAATCAGTAAATTCCAGTTGTATTTTTTTTACCAGCTCCAATAACTAAAGCAAAAAAATTGACGTTTAGGGATCACAGAGTTTTCTGTCATTCATTACCACAGTAAATTGGTGCTTCGCTGAGCTTATTAAAAAATGCCTCAGCAACAAAAGCACAGTAGGCTTTAATTTGATGATGAACCTGAAGTGTCAAGACCAAACAGCGCCAGGGAAGGAGCATCACTAACATTCCTGCTCCCAGTATTTGAAAGCTAAGATACTGGTTTTCACCAGCTCTGGGGTTATGAGGCTTGAGCACATCAGCACAGTTTTACAACAGCAAACAAGCTATTCATTTCTCCTCATGCCATCATCTATTAATCTCCTCAGATACTTTAGTATCTGAAGCAAGTTTCTCTAATTTCATGTGTTCATTTATCCTCAGTTCTACTTCATTCTACTCCCCTCCTTCATAAGAGTAAATGGAAAAAATTATTTTCAATAGACAAACACAACTCATCCCAGAAAGAAAAAAAGACACAAATAGACCTGATGCTGAAGAGCAAAAAATTGAGGATCACCAGGATGAAAACAGATAAACACTAGAACTCTGAAATGTGGAGACAAACCACAAACAAAAAAAAGTTTCAGAAATGTTTGGCTTTTATTATGAAAATCAGATTTCATTTCTCATAGCTGACAAAATTATTCATCAATAGATGCTTTCATATGACACTCGATCTTTTGGAAAGCTTTCAGGGGAAAGGCAAGCTCAATCCCCTTTCCCCAGTTTGTGGCACACAGGAGAATCAAGATACAGACCCAACTCTTACTGCAACCTCTTCAGAGCAGCAACTTCTGGACTACAAAAATCATCACATCAAAACCACCATGTTTTTATCCAGAGGCAAAATTAATTTATTCAACCTGAATTAATTTGTGATTATGTATTTTCAAAGTTTCATTTTGGGGCAGGATGGGAACAGAAAACCTCAACAGTGATTTTTCTAATAATTCTAAATGTTTTTTCAAAAGCTCCAAGTGAAAATAAAAGTCAAAAAGTTTATAACACAAATGAAAGGATAACTTTAAAAGATTTTACCAAGCCGAATTTAAAATGCCAATTGCATTTTTCTCAGTTCTTGTTGCAGACTAAATACTTCCAAAGATACAATGAAGATCTAGCACCTCATTTTCAAGCTCTAATCCTACTGAAAAATAACAAAGACATTCTGTTAAAGCACAAAACAACCAAAGGAACTACTTGTATCATCATACCTCCTTTTATTTACTGACCCTGTATGACCAAAATATGTTTTGGAGAAATTTTGATAAGTTGGTCCCCACTGGAAATGTAACTTAGAAAATAAAATCCATGAATCTTCATACCTGTGGGACTGAAACTTCTTCCCTCAAGCACATGTTTGATTCTCCAGGAAACATGCCAAATGTGTTATCAGCACCTCCAAAAACTCCAGAATTTCCTGTTTCATATATACCAGCACTGTCTTCATGTTGTTTCTTACACACTGCCAGAAGACTTTCCATAGTTTCTGAATGGTTCACACAGCTCAACAGCAAGGAACACACTTTGGTACTGGCAGGTCAGCAGGGAAAGGTTACACTTCACACTTCACCCACCCTGGTGTTCAGGCTCAGAAATGAAGCATCAATCCCCAGCCTGCTGCAGATTTGAGGTGTGCTGGCCAGAAGGGATCAGTCCCCTGCTTCGGGGGCTCTCAAACATTGTCATTTGCCACTCCAGGCATGTGGAGTCAAGGCAGGAGAGCACGTGCACGCTGCACACCTTTCACCATCGCCTCTGCCTGCACACTCCACAAACCCTTTGGGTTCTGCCTCTCACACATCACACGTGCCACTTCACACACCTCGCTACATCCCCTTCACACTCAGGCAGTTTGTTCCTTCTTCCCCTCCAGAAAGGCATTCTCAGCCTCATGCTCTAGCACAAACAGAAACCGAAGCTATGGCTGTGATTATAAAACACAAAGCATGGAAAAGAAAAGGTTTCCATCTCCTTGTCTCAGTGTGAACCACAGGATACTGAGAAATGTTCGACTTCAAGCTCCAGCCTTAGGGGTGTTCTTTGACATGAGGTGCCTGGCAATGGTTAACACTTGAATTCAGAGCTCTGGCTAAGGTTGCATCTAACCTATCATTTACATCTGAAGCTGCAGTGCAGTTCATTAGGAAACAACTGTGTTTTCCCAACCTACCATGCAAGGGTGTGATTCACAGAGCAGTTTCAGTGTACTTGAGCTACATTCCTTTTAAAAGATTACAGAACAGAAGCTCATATTTGGATGCATTGGTAAGGCAATCCAACTACTAATGGAATCAAAGCAATGACTCGATATTTGGATGGCTTCAAGCTGTATGCCTGGCAGAAACCTTCAGTCCAGATCACCAATTAAAAAAGAAATCTAGCTAAAAGTAAATGCCGAGGGGCCTCAGCATCACCTTCTGACTTTCTGATTCTTCAAAAAACCCAAAGAACATCCATAGAATTAAACATCCTTTCTGAGTGAGCAAGGTATCAGACTGGCTCACCCAGTTTTTCAGCAGACATATTCATACCAGCTCAACTCTAATGACACCAGAAATAGCCCAAAACCCCAGTAAAGATCACACCACTTACCAGGCCACTGCAAGTGCTGATGGCTGCTGTCCCACTGCCAGAGCCAGGCTGCCACGCTGTGCCAAGGAAGTGGCAAAGAACTCCTGAGGGAGGTGAAATCTTCGCCCTGGTGTGGTTGCCACGTCTCCTTTCTACTACATAGTTATGGGAAAGAAATCCCGTGTGGATAGTCAAGTTAAAAAACAGATCTTTCTCCTTGTGATTAATTTTGTAATATACCACATTTTCACTTTTTCCGAGATGCCTCTTCTTCCTCAGACTTGAGATGGGAGGGTGTAGATTAAAAGAAAGAAAACGCCCACTTGCATCTACTCTTGCTGGATGGACCACATGGTATTCTGGCACTGTCTTCACAAATTGCTCTGAGAGAAAGGGGGGGAAAAAAAGAAACAAAACTAGAGTGAGTACTAGCTTGTTCAGATCTCACATAATTTAAAGGAAAAATCAGAAGTGAGAGCAATTCACCACAACACCCTACTGACAGGCAGTGCACAGATTACTATGGAATACATTCCTCGTTTGGGCTTTCTATTCTCCCATTGTAATCCTCAGTTTAGAAGTTAAACATTCTTCTTTTCAAACATTTGTCGCCATTCATATAAAAGACTGACTGTCATGCACACCCCCCTCTCCCAGTCCCACTAGGGCTGGGAACCCTTCATGACCTAGGTCTCCAGGACATGATACTCTGACCAAGGAGTGTGATCTTCACACATCCAAAAAACTGACCAGCTGAAATTGGACAGAGAGCCTTGCAAAGACATAAAGGTGGAGAGAACACAAATTCATTATCTGTAGTAACAGCATCTCAGTAGCACCAGCTTTAGCAGCTGCTGCAGCTGCAGCTTCAGAATTTCAAAGAAGGGTTTGAAGAGAATGAAGTAATTGTGCTCTGTTGTATAAGGTGTTCCAAGCAGGATACGATTGGAAATCTTATCATTTCTCAGAATCTAGCAGGGAAAGAGAGCATTATTGACATTGTTGTCCCCTGTACAACAAGGGATGCATACGCAAGAAGATACAGAAGAAACACCAGCTGTACCCAATTTTATTTTTTTAAATTAATGTGAAACGCAAAAACCCCATGCAAATAACACAAATCCACGTAAAACACAATCCATAAGAATTCATACCCTAAGGGCCAGATCTGCTGGGATACTTGAATTCTACCCAAGAAATGACAGTCTGAACACATTTAATTAAAAAGAAGTTATGATGACACGCATTAATCCAGTTCCTCTTTACCCAGAGTCGCTCTTCATTCCCAAAGTCCCAGCCACTCACACATAAAGTGACTACACCCCATTCATTAACTAAGCTGCTTAACAAAGCAATTAGCCTGTTCCAGCTGCTTCCAGGCTAGGTCTAGTTAGACAATCCTTTTAGAAGCACTTCTCCCTCCATTGCCTATACCTTCAAAGTCACAGAGGAAAAATCCTGCCTAAGCAGGCAGCTGTCTGGATTCATCCCCTTCTGGAAGGAGCACATCTCAGCTGCCCTCATTAGCTGCAGTTTAAGACGTGGCTGCCTGAGCTTCCTCAGGCCAAGGACCCCGAGACAAATGCGCTGAAACACTTCCAATTGAAAGGAAAGCAAAACAAAACACACAAAGTCCCTGGCCTCCCAGCACATATAGAACTACATCAGAAATCTGGCCTAGTTTCAGCAGCACCTCTACTTCAGAAGCAAACTTATTCTCTTACACAACAGATTTCTTTGTATACAAGCCTGCAGTGACTTGGAGCCTTTGCAGGACAAGCCACCGCAGTGGGGTTTTGGGCCCCAGAGCCAGGTCCTGACAACGTGGACAATAATGCCTACCACAGGTTCTCAGAGACATCTGCCCTTGTCCACTGAGGGGACTGAGACACCGGAAACTCAGTGCACACCTTCACGCCTGCAGTTTGCACAGCCTGTGGACAGCACAAAAGGTGCTGGATGCCTGATAATTCAGCAGCTGAAGCTAACCCAAGCTTCCTCACACTCTACAGGGAAGCAAAAAAGAAAAAAAAAAGGCAGGTAGAAGAGATAAGATCTGCAGAGGCTAAATTGTGAGACTTCCCAGATGTTTCACATCCCATATTGGGATATGGGACTTCCCAGACATGGGACTTCCACATATGGTGAGCAAAGTCAGACTAACAGAGAATGCTGCAAGACCAGGCCCCCATTTCTATGGTTTTCAGCACAACTCATTAAATAATCAAATCCAGTGCCTGAAGGAAAACTCACTCATTTGCTGTCACTGTGCCATTTGCCTCTGCCTGATGTCTTGAACCTAATTTGTTGTGGCTTAACTGCTGAACTCTATGCAACACCAAAGACTTCCGGTTTTGGATCTAAAACTATGCAATGAAGTTTTTTACTTCATCACTACAGCATCATTAGGGTACAGAGGTTAAAGAAAAGTAGGCATCAGCACCAGTAAGATGCAAAATAAGGCAGAAGCATTGGATTATCAAAGCAGAGATATTGAACTTCTTCCATACACACATTAAATACTTGTTTAATTACTGGAGAGGAGAATTATGGTGCAATAATAATGTACTGTAATACAACTGCAGAAATGAATTATTAAAAAGCCTTCAAAAGACCAGAGGGAATAAGATTACAACACAAAAGTCTAACATGATGAGGGTAATGATATTTCTGCAAGTAATCACTATCAGTACAGTTTTGCCTAGACTGGGTAAAATTCAGTCCTAACTACAACAGAAAAATTTACTGAGCTCCACACTAAGCCTAAGACAGCAGAGTTTCTGCCTGGAGAAGAGTGTAAAACAGACAAGAAGTATAATTTTGGTGATCCCTTTCTGCCCTTCTAGGAAAGAACAAAATTCATGCAACACAGACTAATCGAAATTAAGGGCTGCATCCCTCAACACCGAATACCTCTAGTTTCACATAGTAACGGGAATTCCTATTAAAACACCACAAGTTTCCATAAAATTTTGCAGCAGCTAACATAAATGGAGAGAACAAATGCCACTGACAAGCCGTGGCACTGGCATGTCACAGCATCCCCCTTGGACATCCAGCATTCTCTCCACTCCAGGGGAGTCCTTTCCCACCTGTCGTGTGGAGACTGCTCAGGACTTACAGGCCAGGGAAGGTGGCTGTGTAGCTCCAGAGGATGTTTTGTCTTTCCAGAACTACAGCCTGGGCATGCTGGCTTGTGTTGGTGCTGTGAATGAGACCGAAACGTGGCAATGAGCAGCACACACTTGAGTCACAACTTTGCTCTGCAACCAGTGTCTGCTCAGGCCTTTGGGCACACAGGACAGGCAATGTTCAGGCCCTTCACACTCATTTTGAGGAGCCCAAGCACTCTTTAAGTTGTCAGAGAAGTCTTCTCTGCAGACCTTTCAAATTCCACATCAGTGAAAACATCTGATAATATTCAAAACCACTCCTGTGTGTTCTGCTCCTCTGTGGATTCAAATTCACCACACATGGCAGAGAATTGCCTTATTAAGAATGGCTGTACACAAAGTGATTAAACTAGGATAAAAACATACATGATCTGTCACACATGACAGGAAAACCACAATTTACTTTAAATACATAACATGTTCCCTGACAAAATTCCTTTAAAACGTGACACACCATCATTTGCAATTGTTTCATCTCCATCTTTGTAGTTTGTGTACATGTGCCCCTCAGACCCTCTGGCTTGTTTTCAAACCATTCCCTGGGACAGGAAATAGTGTGGGCTCATCTTGTGAGGAAGCATCACACCCAGGAAACACAGCAAGCTCCATCCAAAGCCCTACAGCAGAGAGCAGGCCTTCAGCACTCTGCAAGGTCATCCCAATGTCCCATCCACCACACTTATGGATGTAGAGAGGGGAGAACACTTCTGCTCTACCACATACAAATTTCAGTCCACACCTCACACTGCAAGAAACCTTCCTGTGTAAAAAATTAGCCACATTTTTAACTGCCCCTTTACTCAATGATATTTGCAAATTCTTGGAAAAGACTGTTTTCCATACCTAGAAAGTTAAATTACTTCTACATTAATTTCCATATGCCCAACACTTAAACAGCTGCTACATGCTAACACAACCATCCCTATTCTGTCCCATGTACAGCCACAGGGATGTAATCATAGCATCCACTTTCAATGAATCCAACAGGAACCAACTTCAGGATACTTGAAAATTCACTTTTCAGGCACCTTATTGAAATACTTTTCAGGCACTTTATTTAAACACCTTTCCACAGTCTCTGACAGATCTCTGACAGATACAGAAGATTTTCTCTTTTGTGTTCGAGCTCTTTTGAAAGCACCACAGCTGTTGATTGCAGGAAGCAAAATTTCTTCATATACTTTTGGATCTTCTACTGCCCGCAGAGTCTTCCAACTACTCAAAATTTTTCTCCCTTGGGAGCCACGATTTTCCTTAAGCAGGCAAAAACTAAAATAAAAATTAAATTTCCTTGCACTCCCCACTCCAAAAGAGGACAAATAACCCAACTGTGGGGGCAGCCTCAAAGAAACTCCTCCCGCGGGTGAAGTCTGATTTGTAATTTACCATCCTCACTAAATGGGAGAAACTCACGGCGGGTGCTGAACCCTGATAAGACCAATCTTTCTACAGCGCCTGCTGCTTTGGTACAGAAGCGATCGCTTGCTTAAAATAAATAAACAATCAGGACAGTAAACTTCTTCGGTTTAGTAGCACAGAACCATCCCGGCATTTACAGAGCCGCCTGTGAACGGGGAAGATCTGCAACAGGCAGAGTTTAGCAATACCTTCATCTCTCC